AGAATTCCTGGCACATCTCAGGTCTGTCAGAAAGGACCTGGTCATACTAACTTCTTGCCAGAGCCCTCCCCATCTGTATATCTTTATGTAGGGACGGCCTCTGGGCAATTGTGGGATTGTCAAGGACTGCGCCCTGGCGTGGTGACCAGCCTTCTGCCACCTTCTTGGCAGAAAAGTGAAATCACACCTCTAAGCTCTGTTGAGATTGCCCCTCTCCTCTTAGGCCAGTGGTGCTGGCCTGTGCCCTCTGATGGACTAGAAGGGAAACTAATAATAGGGTGGTAATAATGGTGCCAACCAAATTCAGTGGAACAGTTTTATTTTCAGAGTGCTGTGTCCTGGAGATTAGAGCGGAGGGTAAGCCTTAGGTCATGGGACTTGCAGGTGGGGGAATGGAGGTGAGGAGACCACGTGATCCACTGGGGTGATAGCTAGTGGTGGACCTGGGCCTGGAGTCATGCAGTGCAGGGAGGGGCTCAGAGAGGAGCAGAAAGCAGTGACCCGGCCTTGAGAACACACTCCGGGCTGGGAGGAGAGGGGACTGGAGGCTGGAAGAATAGGCACTGGGCTGAGGAGCCTCTAGGCTGGGTGCACTGAGCTGCATTCATGGAGGGTCTGGGCCTCCATGAGCAGATTTATTTAATGATCCTTTTTCTTCCTGAAACAGTGATATGTGATCACTGTAGGAGTTGCACATCAACAAAAAGAAGAAAAAAGCTAGCCTATACGCCTGTCACCGAGAATTAACCAGTGCTGACCTTTTGTTTATTTCCTGTAACTTATAAAAATGGGATAATTTTGTATTGTGTTGATTATGGTGACTACCTTTCCTAGTTATTATGTATTCCATTGTAAATGTGTTTCATCATTTATTTTATTTTATTTATTTATTTTTGAGACAGAGTCTTGCACTGTTGCCCGGGCTGTAGTACAGTGGTGTGATCTCAGCTCACTGCTATCTCCGCCTCCTGGGTTCAAACAATTTTCCCGCCTCAGCCTCCCTAGTAGCTGGCACTACAGGGGCGCGCCACCACACCCAGCTGATGTTTTGTATTTTTAGTAGAGACAGGGTTTCACTATGTTGGCCAGGATGGTCTCGATCTCCTGACCTCGTGATCTGCCCATCTTGGCCTCCCAAAGTGCTGGGATTACAGGTGTGAGACCCCACACCCGGCCCATGTTTCATAATTTATTTAACCAATTCCCTCTCATTGGATATATTGGTTATTTTCAGGTTTTCGTTATTCAAAATAATATTGCAATCAAATGAATATCCTTATAGCTAGATTTTTGCACACATTCATGATTATTTCTAAAGCATAAATTCTTAGAAGTGGAGTGCTGAGTCTGAGAGTGTGCTATTTTTGAGGCTTTTGATACTCATTGCTAAATTGCCCTCCAGAAATATTGTTCCAATTAATACTCCCATCAGGAATGTATGAGAGTGGCTGTTTTCTCAACTCTCGCCAGTATCTCACCAAAGATTGTCAGCTATTTGATGATTTAACAAGTTCAAATGTTATCTTGTTCCAGTTTTCATTCTTAGGATTACTAATAAGTTTGAACATTTCTCATGTATTTGTTAGCCTTGTGTATATTCTCATATGAGTTGCTTTTTCACGGTTTTTGCTTAATTTTCTGCTGGTCTATTAATCTTTTTCTCATTGTTTTCTAAGAGCCCTCTATAGATTAAGGGTAACTTACCCATCTCTGTCATATTTGGATCATGTGACTTTTAGGAAATCTTAATGCCCAAACATTTTCTGTCCAGTCTTGCCTCTAGGGCCAAAGTAGCTAGGAAAACAGAAATGTCCAGATAGTTCTCAGACCACATGGCAGGTGTTACTGAATGCTGGCAGGGGCCATTGGCATTAATAATTATTTATGCTGACAAGACAGTACTAATAATAAAAACTGCCATTTACTGAACAACTATTTTATGCTGGGCACTTTGCATATATTAGCCTTTCAATCTTATCACCCTGCAAAGAGCTGAGTAAACTGGGGCAGAGAAATATTAAGTAGCACTTTTAAGATCACACAGCTAATCAGTGGCAGAGCCAGGATTTGAACGTGGATCCGTCCATTTCTACCACCCATGTGCTTTCTACTTTGCCGAGCTCTTGTTCTTGGGGTAAATAAGTCAGGTCTTCCTCAGCACCTTCCACCTCTGGACCTGTTGGTTGGCTCTAGAAGAGTCACCCTGCCCTGGTTTTACCTGCCCTTGCTGCTGTACGTTGTTTCTCAGCTGGCCCTGTTCTCTAGTCTTCCAACTGCATGCTTTCTCCTTGGTGCTAGAGAGCCTGACTGTTCTGCTACTGATAAAGAAGCCCAAAAGATACCAGGACATGATTTCTGTTTCAAATTTCAGGATCAGACGGTAAAACTAGATCCATCCAGTCCTTAATCTAGTGGCCAACTGCCAGTGATTTCACCCATTATGACAAAGGAGCCAGTTGGAGCGCACATGGTAACTGGTCTTCAGAGGAGCCCTGGCAGGGAACGCACCTCCCATGTAGTCTCTTCTCTGTGACGCTTGGCTCACCCTGTGACAGACTTTATGTGTGTGTTTTAATAATTGCTGTAGAGATATAATTCATATGCCATGAAATTCACTCCTTTAAAGTTGTTGTTAGTATTAATATATTCACAAGTTGTGCACCCAGCAGCACTATCTCATTCCAGAACACATTGGTTAACCCCAAACGAAACTTTGTACCCATTAGCAGCTGCTTACCATTCCCTTCTCCCCTCAGCCCCTGGCAACTGCGAATCAACTTTCTGTCTCTATGGATCATCCAGTTGTGAATATTTCATATAAACAGAGTTATATAATATGTGGCCTTTTATGTGTGGCTTCTTTCACTTAGCGTCATGTTTTCAGGGTTCATCCATGTGGTAGCAGGTATCAGTACTTCATTCCTTTTTTGTGGCTGAACAGTATATTCTACTGTAGGATATACTACATTCTCTCTATTCATTTCTTCAGCTGATGGACATTGTGTTACTTCTACCTTCTGGCTATTTTGAATTGTGCTGCTGTGAGCATGTGTATAAGTTTCTGTGGACATACGTTTTCTCTTGAGTGTACACCTTATATATTTAGGAGTGAAATTGCTGAATCATATGGTAACTCCATGCTTAACTTTTCGAAGAACTGTGAAACTATTTTCTAAAGCAGCTGTACCATTTTAAATTCCCACCAGCAGTGTCTGAGGGTTCTGATTTCTCCATATCCTCACCAACATTTGTTATTGTCAGTCTTTTTTATCATGGCCATCTTTTGGGTGTTGAGTGATATTTCTTTGTGGTTTTGACGTGAATTTTCCTGATGACTACATGATGTTGAGCATCTTTTAATGTGCTTGTTGGCACCTATTGCTCATTTTTAAAAATTTTATTTCTTTTAGAGACAGGGTCTTGCTCTGTTGCCAAGGCTGGCCTCAATCTCCTAGGCTAAAGCGATCCTCCCACCTCAGCATCCCTAATAGCTATTAAATTATTTCTCTTTAAGTTTTAAGAGCTCTTTATTTATATATAAGAAACTATATATTTCTTATCAGATATATAATTTGCAAATATTGTTTCCCTTCTGTGCGTTGCTTTTGCTTTCTTGATGATGTCCTTTGAAGCACAAAAGGTTTTAGTTCTGATGATGTTGTATTTATCAAATATTTCTTTTGTTGCTTATGCTTTTGTTGTCATATCTAAGAAACCACCGTCTAATTTCAGGTCACAAGATTTGCTCCCACGTTTTCTTCTAGGAGTTTTGTAGTTTTAGCTCTTACATTAGATCTACGATCTGTTTTGAGGTATGTTTTTGTACATGGTGTGAAGTAGGGGTCCAAATTTATTATTTTTCATGTGTCTACTCCGTTATCTCAGTACCATTTTTTGAAAGAGACTATTCTTTCCTTCATTGAATTGTATTGGAACTCTTGATGATCAACTGACCATAAATATGAGTTTATTTCTAAACTCTCAATTCTGTTCCATTGATCTATATAATCTAATGCCAGTAACACTCTATCTTGGATAATGTGTCTTCATAGAAAGTGTTGAAACTGGAAAGTATGATTCCTCCAACTTTGTTCTTTTTCAAGATTGTTTTGGCTTGAAACAATAGGAATTTCTTGAATTTCCATATGGATTTTAAGATCACTTTGCCAATTTCTTCTAAAAATACAAAAAAAGACAAGATTCTTACAAATATTACATTGAATCTGTAGATATGGTTAGAGAATGCAAGCCACCTTAGCAACATTAGGTCTTCCAGTGCATGAACATGGGATAGCTTTGCATTTACTTAGATCTTAATTCCTGTCAACTGTATTTCTAGTTTCTTTTTTTTTCTTTTTTTTTTTTGAGACGGAGTTTCACTCATGTTACCCAGGCTGGAGTGCAATGATAAGATCTCGGCTCACTGCAACCTCCGCCTCCTGGGTTCAGGCAATTCTCCTGCCTCAGCCTCCTGAGTAGCTGGGATCACAGGCAAGCACCACCATGCCCAGCTAATTTTTTTGTATTTTTAGTAGAGACGGGGTTTCACCGTGTTGACCAGGATGGTCTCGATCTCTTGACCTCGCGACCCACCCGCCTCGGCCTCCCAAAGTGCTGGGATTACAGGCTTGAGCCACCGCGCCCGGCCTTGTATTTCTAGTTTCTATGTACGAGTCTTGCATCTCTCTGGTTAAACTATTAGTAAGTATTTTATTTTTTTATATTATTGTAAATGAAATTGTTTTCCCAGTTTTACTTCATGATTGTCCATTGGAAGTATGTAGAAATACAACTGATTCTTTTTTTGAGACAGAGTTTTTGTTCTGTCTCCCATGCTGGAGTACAGTGGTGTGATCTTGGCTCACTGCAACCTCTGCCTCCCAGGTTCAAGGAATTCTCCTGCCTTAGGCTCCTGAGTAGCTGGGATTACAGGCACCCACCACCATGCCCAGCTAATTTTTGTATTTTTAGTAGAGACAGGGTTTCACCATGTCGGCCAGGCAGGTCTCAAACTCCTGACCTCAGGTGATCTGCCCACCTCAGCCCCTCAAAGTGCTGGGATTACAGGCGTAAGTCACCACACCCAGCCCACAGCTGATTCTTATATATGTTCTTTTATTCTGCAACCTTGTTAAACTTGTTAGCTCTCATAGTTTTCTTTGTGTGTATTTATTCCTTAGGGCTTTCTAAGGTCATGTCATCTGCAGATAGATCTGAATGCATTTTATTTCTTTTTCTTGCCTAATTGCTCTGGCTAGAACCTTCAGTATAATATTGAGTGCTAGTGGTAAGAGTGGACATACTTGTCTTATTCCTGATCTTGGGGAATAGCATTAAATCTTTCAGTATTAAGTATGATATGGGCTTTTCATAAATACTCTTTATGAAGTTGAAGAAGTTTCCTTCTACTCCTGTTGGTTGAGTGTTTGTATTAAGAAGGGGATTGGATTTTGTCAAATGCAGCATTTTCTGTGTCCATTGAGATGATAATATGGTTTTGCCCTTTATTATGTTAATATGGTATATTATATGAATTGAGTTTCATGTGTCGAACCACTCTTGTGTTGCTGGGATAAAGTCCACCTGTTTGTGGTATATAATCCCTTTCATGTATGGCTGAATTTGATTTGCTAGTATCTTGTTGGGGATTTTTATGTCTATATTCAGAAGGGATTTGATCTTTAGTTTTCCTAAGATGTCTTCGTCTGGTAAGGTAACACTAGCTTCATGGAGCTGGAGAGTGTTCCTTGTGACTCAGTCTTGACCAATGGAATATGGCAGAATATGACACAGGAGGTTGGGTCACAGGGCCCTTGCAACTTCTGCCTGCATTTCTTTGGAAACTCACTGTCGGGATGCTTATTGTTAGATCCAGCTACCAGGCTATAAGAAGTGCAGGACATTTGGGGTGGAGGCCCTCCAGTCAACATCCCTAGCTGACAGCAAGCATCAGATGCCAGCCATGTGAATGGGCCATCTTGGACATCCCGCTCAGTAGATGTACATACAGATACTATTGTAGCTTCAACTGACGTCCGATCGTAAGGGAAAACTGCACAGCTGAGTTTAGTCAATCCATTGAACTGTGAGAGTTAATAACAAATTGTGGTTTTAAACCACAGCGTTTTGGGGTAGATTTATTACATAGTAATAGAGCAGGAATCCATTGGCTGCAGCCATCCCTGGCCCATACCTTTCTACAGAATTGTGGAAGCATGCAATGGTGTTTTCTTTTCTCCTGTCTCTTGAAAAGGCCCTGAAAAATGAAATGGCCAGAAGGCAGCATTGAAAAGAAGAGGGAGCCTGGGTCTTGGAACACCCAAGCCTAGGTAACCAGTGGCCTATTTTCCAAAAGGTGCTTGCCTAGCTGTACTCTGCCTCTGCTCTTAGCAGAGTGAATCAAAGGCTCACAGGGCTCACACATCAGTCAGCCTTCAGCCACTTTGCTGCCCCTGTACCACAGGAGGGTTTTGCTTCTTTGAGTGCCCAGACCTGCCATTGGCTGGCATTTGGAGCCATCTGCTCACTTAGTTTCCTAAATGGATCTGTCATGTGGCATTTATCCTTAATTCCCAGGGTTTTCTCAGACCTGCAATTGGTCTGTAAGCTGAGCATCTCAGACCATCTTGCTAATCCCACCTTCGAGCCTGTGGACAAAGCTGGACTGCCATTCTAAAGACAGATATGACCTAATAACCAGAGAAGCAGAACCGGGGTGGGCCCCAGGTAGATGTGGAAGCTTTTGTGAGCCGGTGCAGCCTTCCCAAATCCCACCCTAACCTTGGGGCCACAGTTTGCTTGCTGCACGTAAGAACTAACCAAAGGACTCTGTGTGTTGGATATTCAGTTTCCCTGCTGCACTCTCTAGGTGCATCAGCTTGGTGTGTCTGCACCAAGCTTACTCCTTCATTTTAAGAAAAAAATGCCGAAGATTTTGTATCTTTTATTTCAATTTCCATAATATCAAGAACCTAAAGATGTACTGTACATGAAAACAGGCTCAATATCATCAGTTGTTAGGGAAATGCAAATCAAAACCCCAAGAGACACCACATCACATCCACTAGGATGACTATAATAATACATATTTTTTAAATTAGAAAGGAAAATTACAAGTGTTGGTGAGGATTGTGGAGAAACTGAAACCCTTACACACTGGTGTTGGGAACGTAAAATGGCACAGCCACTGTGGAAAGTTCCTCAAAAGATTAGGCATAGAGTCATGGTATGATCCAGCAATTCCACTCCTAGATATATACCTAAGGTCACACAGAAACTTGTACACCAGTGTTCAGAGCAGCACTATTCACAACAGCCAAAAGGCAGAGCTAACCAAATGTGCATCAAATGGTAAATGGATAAATAGAATGTAATATATCCTACAATGAAAACTGTTCAGCCAGAAAAAGGCATGAAATATTGATACCTGCTATAATATGGGCGAACCTTGAAAACATTATGTTAAGTGAAAGAAAGAAGCAAAGGACCATATATTGGATGAGTCCATACCTATGAAACGTTCAGAATAGGGCAATCCTTAGAGAGGAAATAGATTGGTGGTTGCCAGAGGCTGGGCAAAAAAGGGCATTGAGAAGTCTGAGGTTTCTCTTTGGGGTAGGAAAAATAATCTCAAATTAGATAGTGGTAGTAGCTGCACAATATTGCGGATCGCACATTGGAGTGTACACTTTGGAATGTTTAAAATAATGAATTTTGTGTTCTATGAATTTTACCTCAATAAAAAATTTTCCAAAAAAAAAACCAAACCCTTCTACTTTAATGGTTATTGCTGTAAGGTGACAATATATGTTGTTTGCCATGTAAAGGGCCTTTCCCAGTCAAGAAGCAGGACTAGCCAGAGAATAGGTGCTTCCCAGAGTGGCTTGACGGGGCATGAAGAGTATGGTCTGGGAGCCAAAGAATTCTAGTTCTCCATCTCACATTCCAGCCGGGCAACTTCGGGCAAGTTCCTCAGCCTGGAGCACTCTGTTTAAGTCTTCTAAATTGCAGATCTATCTCTAAAAATGCCTATAAAGTGCCCACTATGCACTAGGCATTAGTCCACTAGTCCCTGCTTATCCACGAGGGATACAGTTCCAAGACCCCCAGTGGATGTCTGAATCCACAGAGAGTACTAAACCCGGTGTCTACTGTTTTTGCCTATGCATAGATAAATACCTGTGATAGTTTAATTTTTAAATGAGGCACAGTAAGAGATTAACAATAATAACTAGTAACAAAATGGAGCAATTATAACAATATGCCAGCATCGCTACTCTTGTGCTTTGGAGCCGTTGTTCAGAAAAGTAAGGATTACTTGAATGCAAGCACCAAGATGCCACAGCCTTCCATCGGGTGACTGAGACGGCTACTGAGTGACTGATAGGCAGGTGGCATGGACAATGTGGGCACGCTGGGCAAAGGGATGATTCATATCTCAGGTGGGATGGAGCGGACGGTATGAGATTTCATCAGGCTTCTCTTAACAGTGCGCAATTTAAAACCTATGAAGTGTTTGCTTCTGGGATTTTCCACTTAATATTTTTGGACCATGATTGGCTGCATGTAACTAAAACTGTGGAGAATGAAACCATGGATAAGTGAGGACTCGTATATTTGTTCCGTTTTTCAGCTGGAGAAAATGAGGCACAAGGAAATAGAGTACTTGTCCAAAAGGAGACAGCCAGCGAGAGGCCGAGCAGCGTTCCACAGCAGGCATTTCTGCTGCAGAACCTGTGGTCTCACGCTCTGCTCCATGTGGCCTTCTAGGAGTGCCTGACCTCCCTACCTCCCATGGCGCTGTGGGATCCAGTGCCATTAGACACAGGGAAACTGTCTTATAAACATAAACACTGTGCAGCACACACAAGGCTCAGTGTTGCTCCTGTCTCAGATATTAGCAATGAGAGTTACAAAAAAAACACCTGGAGCTCATCTGCCCAAGTGGTTAGTCCTGGCCTTACCCAAAATGCATTCCTTCTGGAGTTCACCAAGGACATTAGGATTGCCTTATGTCCAGATTTCTCTGGACACAGGAACATGTCCCTATAAGGCTTCTGAGAGGACCCTGAGATTGCCATCACTCCTTGGGGCCCGAACTTGGGGGCAAAGGAAAACCAGATGGATCCCGGAATTCCTGGCACCAGCTGGGGCAGGTGAACATGGGAGGGGGTGCTAACGTCTGGTAAGTTATGTTTTTTGTATTTAGAAGGGGGCCTGTAGACAGAATCAAGTGGGAAGTATATCCCATTTCCTTTTTGAGACTTCTGGTCCTGGAGCCGGTGGAGATGCAGGGGTTGGTTAGGGAGATTCCCTGGCCCAGCATTTGACAGCTGCGTTGGAAACTCTCGGGGGCAGTATGTATGATCTGGAGAGAATATAACAGAGCTGGGAGCCAGGGTGTTGCTCAGATTCTGGCACTGGTGAATCTGAGAATCAGGAAGATTCAGAAAATGTGGCAGAAGAGCTGGTGTGTTGGCAGCCTGGACTCTGACACATTGAAGGCCCCAGGCTTTTGGCCCCAGGCAGGCATCAGTCCCTGCTACTGCAGCCCTGTGTCTCCACCCTGAAGCACTTCTTCTCTGGCTCCTCCTCTTCCCCACGGTGGCAGGCTGTCCACGCCTGCATTCTCTAGGGCCTTCACAGCAGCCTCTTGACTGGGCTTTTCCTGGTTTCTGCCTCTCCAGTCCAGCTTTACCGTCTCCAGTGTGACGCTTCCGAAACTCAGGTCAGATTGTCACTCTGCTCCTCGACTCATGTCAGTGGGTCCCTGGGGTCTGCTGAGTGAAGTTGGCATATAGCCCCTCACCGTGGCCCTTGTGGGTCCTCCCAGCCCCAGCCACTGCCCCCCAGCAGAGTCCCTGTGTTCTCCGCAGACCACTCACCCTCTCCTGTCACTCCTCGGTTCCTGACTGCAGCCTGGGTCCACCTGGCAGCTTCCTACTCATCCATTAGGGCCCAACTCAAATGAGGTTTCCCTGACACCACCCAACCCTCAGGCCCTTGCAGAATTAGCCAAGTCTTCATCTGTTTACATAGCACATTTCAGGTGTTTCTGTTACAGCATATAATAATATCGTATTATATCTTATTTCACCTGTCCTGTTTCTGGTGGGCTCTGGGTTCATTTAGCACAGACCCTATGCCTCATTTATATTCCTCTTTCCCTTGCCTGGCACACAGTAGGTGTTCAGTACGTGTATTTTCCCATGAGTGTTCATGGGATCTCTGAGTGCAACAAAGTATAAACTGCTTAGTCCTTTCTGCCCTGCGTATGAGGCTGGACCTAAGGCTATCATCCCTGGTGGTGTGTTTAAAGTTCTTCCCTCTCCTCTGGGTATCCTGAGCAGAGATGCAGGGAGAAAGGGGAGAAGACTCATCTCATCTCACCTTGAGCTCTAACTGCCATTCAGACACCCCAGACGGACCATTCAGTGTAGGCTGAATGGCCAGACAGGCTCCTACGTGCTAATCAGGTACCATCTTGAACCCAGTCCAAATGGGGAAGCTGTCAGTATTTACACCCATGTGCCCAGCAAACTGGGAGTGAGGGAAGTAAAGCGTGCCTGGGGCTGAGGCATGGAAAGCCCAGGGTTGGATCTGGAGTGTTTAGGCCAGGGAGAAATGCCAAACCATCAGGCAATCATCTTCCACATTCAAGTTTTGATTTTCATTTTAAGTGCACAAAATCCACAATCTTTTTTTTTTTTTTTAATGCAGCAGCAACAGCTTCCTAAAAATGTGTCTCAGCTGAGCCGTTGTCCATAACAGCATGCCATTTGGCCTTTGTAAAAGGAAAAACCTCTGTATTTGTATCTAGAACACCCACAGCTTAGTGTGTCAGATGCTGCTGGCTAGTTTGATTGGTTGCCTTGCGTGGGTGGCTTCCCGCGGGGGCTGGCTTCCCTAAAGTTGAGTGGGCAGTCCCAAGAGTTCTTCAGTCATTTCTGCCTAACCCGAGGAATGCCAGGTTTAAGCAGAGATGAGGCTTCGTGAAGGAATGGATTCCTTTGCTTTTCTGTGGGGAGTGACTGAGGTTCCTAGAGTCTTCCTCGTGAGTGAAAAGGAAGTAGAGGTGTGTTCCAGCCAACTCTTCAGATGAGGCAAGTGGATTGATAATGGCGCATTCCTAGATTCCCAGAGACCTGGCTGGCGGGCTGCCCAGTGATCCGGAAGTTCGGGTCATCTCCACGTTGCTCTGGGCCCTGGCTCGGGTGCCAGACGCGGAGAGTAATTAGAAGGGAGTGGAACAATCGGGGAAGATGATGTTTGCCAGCCACAGGCCGTTTTTATTGTCCCCGCGGGTTGGACACCGGGCTGAACCAGGTAGGACGGAGATCAGTTTTATTATCGTCTTTCGGCCCCTTCTCCTCCTGGCTGGAATTTCACAGAAGCTAACCAATCTCTGCACAGGCGACTCCTCTTGTATCAAAAGGCTGAAATCCCTGGGGGTGTGGCCTACGCGGCAGCTGTTTCTCTCCTGATTTCCAAGGATAATGTCAAGTGCCTCCGAGTGTGTGAAATTCTGGCTGAAAGTGAATGATTGAAATGCTTTTTCCATTAAACCGTCTCCCTTTTCTTATAGGTGTTTTCCTAACAACCCTTATGCAGATAGCTCTGAAAAGTAGGAAATGGTAAGATGTCGAGTGTCTTCAGCTCCTGGCAGCCTGCTCTGCTGAAGCCTTCTGATTTTCCTCCAAAAAAAAGAAAGAACGACAGGCAGACCACCAGCCCTCTGTGTGGCACTGGGCAGACACAGCTGGGAGGCCTGTGTCGTTTTCTTGTCTGCTTTTTGGAGGGCAGGATTATGTTAGAACACTGAGCCATTATGGGTCTCTAGGATCACATATTGCGCTTTATTGTCTACACAGCCAATGTAAGTTATTGATTTGCAAATGGGAAGCATTCCTTTCCAACTCTCTTGAAGGAGGCTGGAGGGAAGCTATTTTCCGAGGGAGAAGACTTGGTTCATTCTTTGCAAAACATTTCCTGTGCAGCCCGATTCCTGCTTTTAGGACCTGCGCCATCGTCAGCGAGCGCACATGTGTGGTGTTCATTCACGAGGGAGGCAGGCATTTGGCAATCGTCCCCAGGGGTCCAGAGTGCCACTTGTTGCACGGAGGCCTCCGCTGTTGGCATCGGGCTCGCCATGTGAGTGGAGAAGGGTGGCCAGGGACGTGCTCCATGGCTGAGTCCGCCCTCCACGGGGACAGTAAAGCGGGGCCCAGGGAGCCCTCCCGTCCCTGCTGGCTTTTGCTGCTCCTTATTCTTACATCCGCCTCCTTCTCAGCTCTTCCTTCACTGATCATATGTGGATTCCGGCAATGATGCAGCTTTGCCAAGTGAATCTTTTCACTGGCGCCCTCTCATTGGTGCCGTTGACGGGAGGTAGTGTCATGGTGCTGTTCACCCCTTCTGAAAACAGCCAGGTAGTGTATCCCTCCAATCCTTCATTTTTCACTGATTCTAAGATTCCTATTTTATTCACATTTTAATAGCTCCAAAGTGGAGATGCATTTGAAATTCCATGTTGTGTCATTGTTTGGTAGTTTGGTTTCCTGTTTCTCACTAGTAGATAAAATAATGGAGCATCTTATGGCATTGTAGATTCAAAGAAGTAGGAAGGAATCAGAAGGCCAGTGGTCTGATGACTATAATATAGTTGGGATATTTGTCCCCACTCAGATCTCATGTTAAAATGTAATCCTCAGTGTTGGAGTTGGGGCCTGGTGGGAGGTATCTGGGTCATGGGGGTGGATCCCTCATGAATGGCTAGAGCCATCCCCTTGGTGATAAGTGAGCTCTCACTCTGAGTTCACATGAGTAAAAGTGTGTGGCACCTCCTCCCACACTCTCACTTTGGCTTCCCCTTCACCTTCTGCCATGAGCAAAAGCTCCCTGAGGCCTCCCCAGAAGCCCATGCTTCCATCTCCTGGGTTCAAGCGATTCTCCTGCCTCAGCCTCCCAAGTAAGTGGGATTATAGGCGCATGCCACCACACCCAGCAAATTTTTGTATTTTCAGTAAAGTAGGGGTTTCACCATTTTGGCCACGCTGGTCTCGAACTCTTGACCTCAGGTGATCTGTCTTGGCCTCCCAAAAGTGCTGGGATTACAGGCTTGAACCACCACACTCGGCCTAAACCTATTTTCTTATAAATTACCCAGCCTTGGATAGGTATTTATAGCAGTGCAAGAACAGCCTAACACAGACTGCTTTCAAGATGATTTCAAATCCCGAGATGTCCTTTGAGACTCTGTTCAGGGCCAGGTGCTATGGAGTAGGCAGATGTGTGGAGGGCGCCACCTGCCCTGATGTCTCCCAGTTCCAACGCTTTCTTCTGGGGACCCTTATGCCACCTGATAGTGTTTGCCATCTGTCCCTGGCAATTTACTTCTCCTTCCCTACTTCTCTGGAAACATCACCCTCAGCTGGGAGCTTGTTGCCCTACCATTTTAAATGTTGGCATCCTATTTTCTCCCTAATCACTCTCTCCTGGGCTTTTAACACTTTCATCTCATTTCTTAGGTGGTTTTCTGATCTTTGGGTCATTTTGGTTGTTTGGGTGACCCTGAAGCTCTTGTGTGGTTCAGAGACTTACATTCTCAAGTGTCCAGGTATAAGAGGACTTTCAGCTAAATAGACATTTTCTCTTCAACATGATAAAAACCTCCATGTTCTGTGGAGTAGGCATATTCCCTTCACTGCGATTGTTTGCGGTTCCCATGGGTTTCGTCTCTGGTCCCCCATAACCTAGCGCCATCCCATGCTCCTTCTCCCCCCGCCTTCCAGGTTTGGGGCATTGCCTCTCTTGGCTGTCAGTGTTCTTTTAATTTTGGCTGGGGTTGCAGCGCATGCCAGCTGCTTCTTCCCTGGGTAAATTGGATCATTTCACCTCGGAGCAAGCTTGTTCTTACATTTTCTGAAGACCTCTTTCCCCTCACTTTTTATCCCTTAGCTGATTTCCTCAGAAAGTTCTGAGGTTTTTTCCCCCTTGGTATTCTTCCTCTAAAAAAAAAAAAAAAGAAAGAAAGAAAGAAAAAGAAAGGTGCCACTAGTCAAACTTCCCAAGAAAATTTCTTTTTTAGAAAAATTTCTGCCTCTGTCACCAGTCTTGTGAAAGTCCCTTTGGTATTTCAGTTATTAATAGCGTTTCTCTATCCTTTAAGAAGATGGGATTTATTTTGGTTTTATGAAGGGTCAGAAAAGCTCTTGTTGGCCAGAAGAGAAACTGTCTTCATTGTATAGGGAAATATGTTCCAAGCTCCAAACCACAACTTACAAATGAACTTTTGGACTAAGACCAGTGTGTAAAGTGAGGAGTCCGTCTCTACCAAGCTCTGAAATGGAAATGCTGGTATGCTGGAGTTCAGGCTAAGACTCACGCGCTGACCTCAAGTGAGTGCTCTGCAAGAGCCCACCAACTTGGGACCCTTGACCTCTGGAAAACTTTTTTAAATTAATTATACAATTAAGGCTGGGCACTGTGGCTCATACCTATAATCCCAGCACTTTGGGCAGCTGAGTCGGGCAGGTCCCTTGAGTCCAGGAGTTCAAGACCAGCCTGGGCAACATGGCAAAAACCCGTCTCTACAAAAAGTACAAAAATTAGCCCAGCATGGTGGCATGCGCCTGTAGTCCCAGCTACTCAGGAGGTTGAGGTGGGAGGTTCACCTGAACCCGGGATGCGGAGGTTACAGAGTTATGCTTGCACCACTGCACTCCAGCCTGGGTGACAGAGTGAGACCCAGTCTCAAAAAAAAAGTTACACAATTATAAATTATTGTTAAAAAACCAGAGCATCCAGCGGGGCATGGAGTAAAGAAAGTGAAGCCCCCTCCTGTGCCCTGTGCAGGCCTCGGGTACCATGCTTCCCTTAGTATCCATCTCAAGCACCTCTCCCCCAGCATTCATGCAGCTTGACCTCATTTTGTTTAGGGGTCACAAGAGTGTTCCCCTGTTTTGGTTCAACCAAAATCCATTCATTGAGGCCCAGAGACCACCTTTAGCCCCGGGAAAACAATTGGCCCTGGGTTCCCATTGGGCATCTGAAAGACCCTGGGTTTTGGCTGCCAGATTGCCTGCCGTCTGCAGCCCTCTCGTCTCCTCTCCTCTCCATCACACAAAGGCAGCCTCAAATTTCTTGTGAAGAAGAGTACCTCTCCCCATTCTCAGCAGTGCAGCAGGACTCGTTCTGGTCATGTGTTCTCTGGATGTTACTGAAGTTATTTTTCTGTGAGCCTACAGTGTACATGACAGTACGCTCAGCCCAGAGAGGGAGGCAGAGCAAAGCAGTTGATCTCTCTCAAGAAGCTTACAGACTCATCAGAAGATAAGAATATGCCCATTCAATAGCCACCCTTTATGAAGCAAGGCAGGTATGCGTATCAGGTTTCTAAAATGTTACGATGTTTGACCTTTGCATTTCTGGGCATATAAACTGAGTAAATAAACATACTTATGCACACAGATTTGTATATAAGAATTTTAATTACTCTGTTGTTGATAAAAATGAAAGATTGAAGGTGGCCTCTAGGTCCAAAGTTAGGAGACTGGTTAAGTGAGTTGTGATATATCCATTCAGTGGCTTACTAGACAGCTGTGTGAAACTAAGCTTTCAAAGTCAATCATGAGGCTGGGCGCAGTGGCCCACGCCTGTAATCCCAGCACTTTGGGAGGCTGAGGCAGGTGGATCATCTGAGGTCAGGAGTTTGAGATCAGCCTGGGCAACATGGTGAAACCCCGTCTCTACTAAAAATACAAAATTAGCCGGGCATGGTGACACATGCCTGTGATCCCAGCTACTTGGGAGGCTGAGGCAGGAGAATTGCTTGAACCCAGGAGGGAGAGGTTGCAGTGAGCTGAGATCACACCACTACACTCCAGCCTGAGCAATAGCGTGAGACTTGGTCTCAAAAATAAATACATAAAGACATTATGACATGGGAAAATACCATAAAATATTCAGCAAACCATGTTGGATATACTGATTGTAATCAATATGATCTGAATTAATTTTTCCCAACATTTTATAAAAATGTTCAACATATAGTTGAAAGGATTTTGCAGTGAAATCTTCCTTGTGACTACCACTGGCTGTACCATTACCATTTTATTATATTTGCTTTATCATCTGTCCCTCCCCCTCTTCATCCAATAATGCATGTGATTTTTTAATGCATTTTAAAGTAAATTTCAGGCATCAGCACACTTTCCCCTTGACATTCCAGCATGCATATCATTAACTAGTGTTCACTATTTGGTTGGTTTTTTTCTTTTGAGGAAAAAATTACACACAGTGAAATGTACATTCATTAAATGTACCTTCTCTGAGTTTTGACAAATGCATACTCTCATGAAACCAGAATCGCTATTAAGATACAGAACATTACCAATTATTTTTACTACTAAGCACACATACTTATTTGTATATGCCTATACCTGTGCAGTGGGATTCCAAGGCTGATTTTATTTTCTTCACTGTATTATTCTTTACTTTGTAAATGGTGTGAGTGAGTACATCTATTTGTTCTTTTATTTAACAGGTATTCATTTATCATGGAGAGTGTGTGCCAGGCTCTGCCCTAAATACAGGGGCTCCAGGGGTTGACAGGACTGCAGAATTCCCTGCCTTTATGGCACCTATAATCTAGTAGTGAGTGGCAAGGTGAGTGAACAAAAGATAATGCCGCAGTGAGATAGTGAGTGAGGGGCTGTGCGTGAGGCTGAATGATTTGAGGAAAGAGCCATTGAGGGTCAGGAGAGTCTCAGGGGGCCTGGGGACCGGCAGGAAGAAGGACCTTGAGGCAGGAGGGGGAATGCGACAGGATGGGAGGTCAGAGGGGGAGGAACAAGCCAAGCCATACAGCGCCTTGTAGGTGATATGAGGAGTAAGGACTTTATCCTGGTGTGGAGAGAAGCCGTTAGAGGGTTTTAATCAGGGGAGTGACTCGATCCGATTTCTGTTTTGAAAAGCTCGGCTCTGTGGAGAATCTGCTCTTCTGGGTAAAGGTAGAAGCGCGGAAGTCAGAAAGGGAGGCTTGTGCTGGGGTGGCAATGTGGTTAGCAGCTGTGAGGGTAGAGCTGGCGCTGCTTCCTGAGGGATTAAAGGTGGGATGTGGGCGAGAGAGGGGTCTAGGAAGATTTTCTTTGTCTAAGCATCTGGGTGAATGATGGTGGTCTAACTGCGATGGGCAGACTTGTGTAAGAAGCAGGCTCTGGGGAGGAGAGAAATCAGGAGTTCCGTTTTAGACATGTTGGGTGCAATGTGAAAACTTCACCTTTCAAACCTTTGCGTGGCGAAGTCAGGCAGGCAGCGGCTGGGTGAGCGCTGGAGGAAGGGGAGCGCTCACCAAACTACTCCACCTTGTTGGTGCACAAAAGGTGCAGGGCCATCTGCAACCACCTTGGGGGCAGATGTGGTTTGGAATTCAGAATTATTCAAACTTTGGAAAGGTAATCGATTAACCCTCACCGAGGTCTGGGGCGTCACCTGTCATCAAACACAGAAGGTATTTCTGTAGCAAATTATAGTCTTCACACTTAAACAGATTAATAAAGACTAGAAATAGCCTCACATCGGTTCAGGTCAGGTGTTGTTATGAAGGCAGTTTTGTCACCAAATTAGGTAAAACTTGGTTTCAGAGCTTTTGAGTTTCTGAATTTCAGAAAATTAGCAATCCCCTCTCTAGTCTCAATTTCTACTCCCCAAACGCAAATACTTTGCAAAAATTTTTCACTGCTCTTTTCTATTTACTTCTGTAATGTAAAGTAAGTGGGCTTTCCTGCCGTCTCTAGATTCTTAAAAGCTTTATACTATCTACTAACTTGCTACCATGGAAAGTGAGGGCTTATTTTTTTGATAGGCCCTCTGCACTGCGCACCCCTCCTCCATCCAGCCTTCCAACATAGTCAAATGGCCATTTTTCACTAAATCAGCATTGGAGGCTTATATTATTATGACCATGTGAGTATTATTCACAGCTGAACCACCTGCCCTACTATTATTACATGTCCTTCCTTAAACAACTCTGATTTCTTCAGTCTTTTGCAGCAAAGAAGCAAAGGATATCAGGGTATAAGGTAATACAGAGTTCCCAACAAGCTTCCCATGCATACCCAGCCCTTCCCACATCCCTGTTCTTGAGGGTAGCCTTTCTGGACTTTGGGAACTAAAATCAGCCTGTGTCTCTGCCCGCCACTCCACCCCATCCACTGGCTGTGTTCAACTAAGTCATTTACCATTTGTCCAACTGCTCTGCAGCAGCCTCCAGAATGTTACTGGCATCTTGGGTCTACTCTCATCTCCTATATTGTCGGACGATCACATTGTTCTGGTAGTTTATGCCTTTTTAAAATTAAATTTACTATCATTCTTTGTGGGGCTTCAGGAGAGAGTAGAGATAGACATAGTTTATCAACCTGCCACGTTTAACGAAAAGCATCCCAGACCACTGTTCATACTTCCTGGGCCATGACCTTTTCATAGCAGGTGTCAGCAGATGTTCCTTATGTAATGATTTTGTCCACCTGTTGCCCAGCTCAGCCCACAGAGTTGGAAATTGGAAATTTGGAAGCGCTGTTACAACAAATTGCTTTCTAGGCATTTGAAATCTCCCAGGGTTTTCCCAGAGCAATTTAGGAGACCTCCTGAATGAGCCTAATGTGCTTTCAGCCTTTCTTACTACAATGAAGAGACTACATGGCATTTGTATTTATTCAGCTATTTTGAAGTAGAATTCTTCATGCAGCCGGGGTAGCATAAAGGGCAGGCATTGGTCAGGCAGGCTGGAGCTTGGTCACCAATGAGTGTGTGTACTGCACAGCTTACTTTTGCTCTCTGGGCCTCAGTCACCCCATCTATGGTATAGGTGGACTGGGGCACCTCATTCTCCATACTTGACACAGAGCCCTCTGTATAAAACACAAATAGAGGAACTGTTCTGGTTGAAGAAGAGGCAGATGCCCCCAGAGTGAACCGAGATACTTCCGAGCCATCCCAGGGCTCCTGGGAATATACATTGAGAAGCACTGGACTTGAAGATGTCTCTAAAGTCTCAATTGGACAGCTCTGGGAACCTTGCCTTTTAAAAGGTTTACTGCTCTGCAGAAATAAAATACTCTTTGCAGCTGGGGTCCCAGGACGTGCAGCCCCTGCCTGGCTCTGGTGCCACTGGACCTGACACGGCATGGCAGGCACTGTCCTCATCTCCCTTTCCTGGTGCAGAAGCGGAAGCGGGAATGTTGGCTCTAGCTGCCTCTTAGCAAAGGCACGGATTTGTTGATTTATGGGTTAAGAGCCCTGGGATTGGAGTCCTCCCGACACAGTCTCTGTAAGAATACGGGAATTTGTTTTCCCACATCATTTGCTTTTGATTTAGTGTTTTGATGTGGGGCTGCCTTATGACTCAGATGTTATCTTCCACTGCCAAATCACACGTTAGGTGTGTATAACATTTCCTACACAGTGACATCTTATCCTCTTCCAGACATCAGTGGCCATACTCCACACCCGCCATGGGGCAGGGCAGGGAGGGAGGGGGAATTAAACAACTTTTCTACTCACAAATCAAGACATGTCACAGGGATGGGGCAGTGGTTTTCAAAATCGTTATCTTTGTTGTTGACGTTGTTGTTTGAAGGAGAGAATCATTTTCCAAAGAAAATCTTAAGCCAAGGCCCAATCAGCATAACAGGTAAACATGGAACCCCTGCTCAAGTTGAAGAGTAGAATGAAGTGGAATAGAGACTCCAGCCCCTCTTCCAGCTCGCCATAGAGGCTTCAGTTATAGGGACAGACTCCCAGGTCATTTCTAGATCTACCTCCTATACTTGACGTGACTTAGTAGGATAAGTGACTGAACCTCCCAGGGCCTCCTTGTCCTCATCTTTAAAATGGGGCTGTTGGGGGAAGGGATAACATCTACGACCACTAGCTTTGAGTGAGGCACTTGGTGTGTCCCCAGTGACAAGTAATCTTCTTACTGCCTACTTAGAAGCCTTGCTCCAAAAGGAAGCCTTCAGCCTCACAACAGCTTTCCTGCAGGGAATGTTTTAGAAAACCTGATTCGCACAGTTTGCAACAACTACTGTTTTCTTTTCAACCTCTTCTTTCCAGAGAAGGTCCTTGTAAGGTCATAGTAACATCCAGTTGTTAAGAGCTTGTGATTTTGCTTGGAATGTAAACACTACCCTGTCTTTGGCCAGTTGGGAAAGGAAGTTTTATGTTTTCTTCTCTGTCTTTGGAAGTAGCCTTACTTTTGTGAACGCATTTTGATAAGACATACTGAAATCTGTGATTTTGGTTAAGCTGAAGATGGGGACACTGGCAGTAGTATGGATCTTCTCAATGAGTGTATATTTGTGGGTGTTTTGTAGCTGTTAATTACATTAAATAAATTACCATAAAATTGCACCAATATTGTCCCTCCTTCCCCCATGCTGGCCCATAGGAGCTTTCTCTCTGTGTGGGAAATGGCTGTTTTTTCACTTCACTATTTGAGGACTGAGCAGCCTGTCAAATGTATTGATTGCCTTCTCCAAGTTGGAGATTGGGAGCTACATATTTACTTATCTTCCCTAGTGAAAAAGCAAATAAGACTGCTTATCTAGTTTTTAAACTTGCTTTTCATTTACTCTGTCAAAGGCATTATCCCACAAAGACATAATTTGAGAAGTATCTTCATAGAAAATAGCTCTCATTTCATAAGCCATGAATACCCTTGCTGGTGGAACCCATGTATTGCTTCTTTAGAAACTGTCAGTGCTCACTGCTCTCATATCCCTCAGTGAATTATCTAGCTTCCAAACCTGTACTTTTTCTCCCACCAGCTCTTTCTTCCCCTTAAGCTCTGCCTGCAATAAACTGTGGACTGTGTGCATTTAGCTTCAGCCTCTTCTTCTATAAAATGAGAAGAATAATGGTTCCTCCCTCAAAAGCTTTTTGCATGGAAAAAAACATGATATTGCTTACAAAGTGCTTAGTACAGTATTTGGCATAGAGTACATGTTTGATAAACAGTAGTCATTATTTCTCTTTGTTGCCTTTTCTGTTCTCACATTCATAGTCACCCATCTCTCAGGCCATATTTACCTGGTTTATCTGGGACTTTGTTGTATTTTCCTCATCCCATGGGATTAAAAGCAAGCACAGCCCCTTCCCAGGGTGCTCTGTGTGCCTGTTGCCTCCCTGGTTCAAGATCTGCTATGAACAGCTCCAAGCCTGGTGCTTCCTCCAGGTCATTCTTCCCGTTCTTCAGGGATAGGAAGCATTGATGGCACCTGGCGTTCTTCCATATTAACAGGACTCTGCTTGGTTCTGAATACCATGTTCCTTGACTACTTGTGTGGTAAAAATGTAATTTATGCCCTCTAATCCTCAGTCCTAAACTGTGAGCCACATACAAGGAGCCAATATGGCAAGAGCAGTTAGAACCTAGGTTTGGGGCCACACTGCCTGAGGGGTCAGTCCCTGACCCTACCACTTACTACCTGTTTGATTTGGAGCAAGTTATATAACTTTTTTTGTGTCTTGGTTTTCTCATCTATCAAATAGGTATAAAAATTCGGATCTGTATTTCTGAAATCCAAGCCACTCTGAAAACAAAATTGTTGTTTTTTTCCCCTCCTAAGTTTGAGGCACAATCGCTTGGCATCAAAGTCTGCCCTGACCTGACGTATAGCTACTTATTATGTACTTTGTCCAAATTAGTATGATTATTCCTGTGCTTCAGTGGAAAGAAATATTAATGTTTTTGATTATAGGATGCAGCCCCTGACTGCTGGGGTGTTATATATAATGTGTACCATGTGACCTTACTAAAATATGATATATACAATTTGGGAAACCCACTTAGCCCAAGAGCTTTGGATAAGGGATTGTGGATCTGTAATAGCCACTTCATAGGGTTGTTGAAAAGATTAAACAAGATACAGCCATCCTTAGTATACATGGGGAATTGGTTCCAGGACACCCGTGTGTACCAGAACCCGTGCTTACTCACATCCCTCAGTCAGTCTTGCAGAACCCAAATATATGAAAAGTCAGCCTTCTGTGCAGGCGAGTTTCATGTCTCACAAATACTGTATTTTCAACCTCATTTGGTTGAAAACCTTTGGCATATAAGTGAACCCATGCAGTTCAAACCCATAATGTTCAAGGGTTAACTGTATTTTGCATAAAGCTCTTAGAATGGTCTATGGACTGTAAGTGCTCAATACACACTTGCTATGATTCTCTTGAAGACATGAAACAGTACTGTGTCCGTAAGAATGAGCGGTTTATTTTACCACAATAAAAATGTTTGTTCTTTTTTTAAGTGAATGGTTTAAATGTTTAACGAATGATATAAAAATGAATTTTACTGCCTGGATCTAAAGGAAGTGTGCTGTTTCTTTTGGAAGGACTTTCCAAATCCACAAGAGAAGTCAGTTTCAGCAATGATGAGTGTCACTCTGTCAGATTTTGTTCTATACTCTTGACCTAGGGCTTGCTTACGCCAGCAAAGGCAGAGTCCCCATCCTCTCCTTTTCACCCTCACCTTCCATTCTGCATACATCAAACATGGCTTGGAGTAGAATCCAAGGTTGACTCTCTCTGAGATGTTGTGATTCCTGAAAACCTGTAGTTCTGGTGTCCCTGCTGTCTTGCATCTTTTCTGTACCTTTGTCCTCGATGACAAACCCTGTGAGCTCTTCCTTCTATATCCCCCAAAGGTAAAATACTTGTAAGTCTCTTGTAAAATATTACAGCTTCTATCTTTCTCATTGTTTTTCATCCCCAGTCTCAAGCTTTTGCCAAAATCATCTACCATTCGGACTTCTCCACACACGTGTATAAATACCAAGGTCCCATTTCTCCACTCCCCAGCCCTTGTCTCATTTAGACCTGGTCAGGGTCTAATCCTCCTTGTCTGTTTGATTATTATTGCTTAGTTGTTTTTTCTTGGTGGCCATGTTGTGTTATCTTCTTTGACCATCCTGTGTTTTCTTCCATATTGCACTTCTGCAAAATAGTCACAATTTACATTCCTTCATTTCTCTGGCAAATCACAAGACTCCCATATTGTATGTTTGTTCCAAATGCCTCTATTTTTGAGATATACATCTATGTAATAAAATGCTATTTTCTTAGCACAGTGATAAATCATATTACAGGCCAGGAAGTCAAGTTTGGATGACACCACCAACATTGGCAGAGAACCCAAATTAGCACATTAGAACCATGCGGTCATAGAATTGGACAGTTGGGAAGGACTCCACCTCCTCGTTTTATAGATGAAGCAACTAAGACCTAGACATCAAAGTGTCTTGCTCAACCAGACACAGTTGGCTAGTGATAGAGGTTGAGCCAGAACCTGTATCTCTAGGCTGGTGTTCTTATTATGTTTTTATTAAACTGTTTATGTGCTTTGTTTTCCTCAGAATAATACATGTATAGTTTAAAAACCAAGTTGTACTAAAAACTTAATCCAGTGCCAGTTCCTTGCCCTGTCTCTGCCCATTGCTAGTCTTGTCTCCCTAGAGGCAACCACTTTTCACCTTTTAGCTGCTTCTTCTAGCATTTACTCCGTATCTCCATGAAATGTGTGTATATGAGTACATCTTCATATATCAGTTTTTGGTATTTCAGTGACCTGTGAACCTTCCATCACTGTAGAGGAGGGTTTGGCTGTCATATCTCTACCCCCTCTCCTTCTTCCATCCCTTCCCTATGGCTTTTCAATTCTCAGTGAAGGTATATGGTTATATCAAGCTTGTAAATATCAAGTGTCTGAATCTGTCCAGTTTCTAAGTCAAATAACAAGCTCAGAAAATGAGAGACACTGTACATCCAAATGTATTTGGTTTCTGGGTTTCAGATATGAGTAGTGGAATTTCAAATGATGAGGAACAGATTTCAAAAAAGTATCCAAATCTGTTCCCTTCTAAAGGATGAAGGCTAAGCGTTTGGATAGTGAGAGGCATCTATACTGTTCACTTACAGAGCCAAGGAATATTTATTTCCTTGTGTCTTAAAAACATGCTTATTGATTCTGTCTTTATCTACCAATATTAGGCAATATTACCTCGTATGTAGGTTTTTGCTTGTCCTAAAATTATTGCCTCATGGGTTTTACTTGTATTCTTATCTATATGTTTGCCCTTAATTTTGCCCACTAGACTGGGCATATCCTGTCACTGTTTTTTTGCTCAGCTGGTCAGACATACTGAATAAACCCATCAATTCCCCTGTATTTTCTGGAGCCCAGTAGGCCCTTGGCCTGCTATGCTGCTATGCTGTGACAATGGCCTCCCTCCCTATTGTCCTGGGAAGTCCACTGACCGGCAGCTTGTCTTCTTCTGCTTGATTTACTCCCTCTTTTTCTGGGACTAATCTTCCAGGGGCATCCTACATAAAAGATAACTTTTTGGGGTCTTCAAAATATGGAAATATCTTGGATCTGTCCACAGACTTGATTAGTAATTTGGTGGCTACAGAACATTCAAAATTGGAAATAATTTTCACTTGGGATTTTAAAGCCATTTTTGTATTGTCATCTAGCTCTAGAGTCACTCTTAATAGGAGATGCCAGTTCTATGTGAGACCTCTTTTGCTCTCTGAAAGCTTTTAGGATCTTCTCTGTATCACTGTTGATCTGAAATTACTTGATAATGTGCCATGGAGGTCTTTTTTCTTTCTTTGGGTTGGGCACTCCACTGGTGGGCCCTTTTAATTTGGAAATGCATCTTCTTCAATTCTGGAAAATGTTCTTATAGTGGTGATGTTTTGTTTTGTTTTGTTTAATTTCTTCCTTCCCATTTACTTGGTTTTCTTTTTCTAGAATTCCTTTTGTCAGATATCGGAACTCAAGGAGTCTAAAACTCTATCAATTTCCTCTGTGTTTGCTTTTGTTTTCTTTTTTGAAGACTCTTACACGCCTTCTAATAAAATTTTTATGTCACCTGTCATATTTTTAATTTCTAAAAGTTTTTTATTGTTTTCTGCTTTTTCTCTTGCTGTTGCATCCTGGTTTTGGTTTCTCTGTCTGAGGACATTAATAAGTGTTTTTGAAGTTCTCTTCTACTCATTGTATAGCTTCCATATTCCTCTATTCCTGTCATTGTGTCAGTCTGTTTCATGTAGGTGCTTTCTTTAACTGTCTGGTGATCCTTGGTCATTCATATTTAAGAGTGAGGCACTACAAGTGGCTGGGAGGTTTAGGGTGTTTTAGTAGAGCTTTTTAACTGGTGGCCCATTGTACAGGGGGATTACATTGTGAACTTATCATTTCTTTGGAGAATTTTCAGTTGCCAGCATATAAAGGCCTTTTCTTAAAAGAATTTCTCACTGTTTTTTCAGAGATGAATTCTCCCCTTTCCTACCTGGAGGGTGCTCCAAGCACAGATGGAGGAGAGACCCAAGGGCATCACGCCTGAGAGTGGCCACCCTCACTCCGTCCTCTCCGTTTAGCCTGCCCATCACCCCATCCCTTCACCATGCCTCCTGTCCCCTGGTCTGGATCCTCTTCTAACCCATCTCTCTAGTAATCAACCTTCAGACTCAAGCAGTCTCCCCTCACATCACCCCTGCCATCTGAAGTACATAGTGCCTTCAGTTCCCAGGCCTCCCAAGAGTTATATCCCAGGCAGATATGCTCAGTTTGCATCCTACTCCTTTCTTAGACACATAGGTCACCGTATCCTCCACTCTACTCAGTCAGCAATCACTCCTCACCTGTCTTCCAAAACCATGCCCTTGTTTGCTGATATCTCCCATTTCTATTGTCTTTGAACTCTTTTTCACTCCTTTACTGTCATTTTAGGAGTGTCTTGGTCAAGAGGAAAGATAAAATTAAGGAGTAACCATTAATCCACCGTTCATTCAGCCAGTCAACAGCTGGTGGAACCAAGTGGGTTCCAGGCAGTGCTGGGGATGGAGCAGTGAACAAATCAAACAATAATTCCTTCCTTCTTAAA